TCTCCAAGCCAGCGGCACCCCCTGCAGACATCTGCTCTGAGTCCCCTGTGTTGAGGTGAGTACGCTGAGGCCTGGGCCCAGAATTCTGGGATTTGTGGGAATCCAGGCCTCCGGCCTCCAGGGCCACAGTCTCCCAGCTGCAGGAAAGCAGAGCCGTTGGAAATGGTCGCTGTTCTTTTAGCGAACAGCTGAACTTGAGTTTCGTAGAAGGGAACCCAGGTCAGGGCCGCTTGGCCCACAGCGCTGTGCAGAGCTCGCGCGAGGGGCGGCGGCGTGTGCCATCTGTTGGCCGGAGCGACAGCGTGTCCGTGGGCTTGCAGGCAGGAAGCCGCAGGCGGTTCTGGAAGGCAAGCTGAAGCGGCTGGAGGAGGAGTGTAAGCAGAAGGAGGCCGAGCGCGTCAACCTGGAGCTGGAACTCACGGAGGTCAAGGAGAGCCTGAAGAAGGCCCTGGCCGGCGGGGTCACCCTGGGCCTGGCCATCGAGCCCCGATCAGGGACGTCGAGCCCACAGGTAAAGTCCCTGGCGGCCCAGCGAGCACACAGCCACATGCCAGCTCTGGATGGGTTCCCGGCTGTGCTCTGAGCCACTGGCCTCACGTTTTCCCCTCTTTGTGTAAGCATGGTGGACACAGCAGCCCCCCTCCTCTCCCTTCCCGGGTCCCGTCATGGAACACAGCTCTCTTTATCTCTTTCCAAACACGTCCTGATTGGAGCTGGAAGTCTCAATCCCACGTAGCAGGTTTTCACGAAGCGTCCAGCACATGCTGGGGATCCCGCCAAGTTGCGGGGGGCAGAACCCTTGTCAAATCTGACAGGACGAGGGGAAAGAACTTCCGAAACACGAATTAGGGCCTTCAGGGGCTTCCTGTTCACTCTCTGGGACTCATAGTCACTGAGGAGCTACAGCGTCCTTCTCATAACTATTCTGTCGGGTCCAGATGACCCTCAGAGTCTGATGTCACTACTTCCGTTTTACGGTCGAGGAACGTGGGACCCAGAGAAGCGAAGTGACCCCCCCCCC